CTGGAGGAAGGAATTGGTTTAGGGTGTAGGGTTTAGAGTTAGTCCCTGGAGGAAGGAACCAATTTCATGAGGTTCTTCGGGCTTGCTTGCCATGGCTCCTTGTGACGTGTGGGTGCACGTGACGATATGTCAGCTTGCACAGGACCGACTGTAAGTCCTCATACTTCCTAGTATCAATCCTATTCTTCTGATGAACATGGGAACAGGAAGCTGGAAGTGGACCCAGAGACTACCTTGGCGTGAAGATCCACCAGAGCTGTATGGGAGACGGTATATTATAGAAGGCTACATTCTTGTGAAAACAATCTTGAGATGCCTTTGAGGCACTCTGCATGTACGACATTATGCAATTTTGGGTTTAGGGTTTAGGGTTTGACCATAACTGTTGGAAGTCTCAGCCTTCTTACATGATTTTTGTTGGCAGAAAAAGAGGGGTCTGGTAGACCAAAGCAGGCACCAAAGCCATGTCCTGTGACCATGGCGTCTTGATGTAGGGATCTGAAGCACCTGGATTCCAGAAAGAACCCTGACCTTGCATGAATGCGGAAAAAGGCTTACTTTGGAAGCTCATCCAGCAGATGTTCTGGGCAGACGAGGCCAATCAAGAAAGATTGTGGTTGAAGGTATGGTGAATGTAGGTACTGTAGATCCAGAATTTCAGAGTCAGTTCTGTGTTTACTATGGTTGCGAACGCGGCGGGAGGAGAGGTCTTGTCTGCATCAACATGCAATGTACGAGCAGAAAGCCTCATGACACTCCGTTTCTACCCAGAACTGACTCCTCCGACAAAGCCTCAACTTTCTGAAAGCGGGCGTCGCTTTCTCTGGGGGAAAGCGCAAGCTTGACTAGCATGGGCACGAGAGGGAAGTACCCCGAACAGTCCTCACACCCTGCATGAACCCAAGAGCTTCACGTTCTACGATTATTGGAGGGACTCTTGCACCACGTAGACGCCGATTCCCTCCAACCACAATGTCCTAAAATCCACGGACACCGAACTGCAGACGCAGCCCTGAAAGGCGTTTAACGTCCGCAAAGCGCATGAACGATGAGCACATGACAACTGATGGAGGAACCTGGTGTAGTTCACACCATTGGCCACATACCTCCAGACTGGGGGAGTCCTACTGCTTGCGGCTTAGTCTTTGCAGTGCAGGGCCTAGGGCTCAGGGATACAAACTTGTCTCAAGTATCATGGATATATATATATATAGAGTACATGATAAGGTTTCCCCGATATGGTAACTTAGATTCATTTTGTAGAACTCCCATTCAGCCCTCACTCCCCAACCCATCGGCCTCAAGTCCTGAACTTCCTTGACCTCCTCAAGCTGTGGACCCCAAACAATATGCCTACCCTAACCGCTAAAGTATGTAAAATATTGCCTTTGGGGTTGCTTTTTGTGGTTTTGGGCTATTAATTTACCTACTTTGAGGGTTTAGGTAGTAGTAGGTAGGTTTGTGGCCCGTGTTTGCTTTTGGGGAGGCATTGCTTGTTCAGGGAGTTGCTAAGGAATGTAGGGATCTCACTCCAACCTTCGGGTACTATGCAACCACATGAGCTATGGTGTAAACTCCTAGTATCCGCCTTAACAACCCCTACAATACTCCCCTATAGAATCCCGGATATAACACTACAGCACATGTGCTTCAGATTTGAAGGGAAAGTTCCCAATCACATCGCGAACCTCAACCTGAAGCCCTACGACCTTGAGTTCGTTCGCACTCCCATCCCTCGAGCCTCGTGCAAGCCACAACCGTCAGGACCGAAAATTCCCCTCAAAAACCGCAAAACCAAGCCATCGCCTAGAGGAAACCCTGCCAGAAGGAAAGCTACAGTTACTTTCAACCTTCATATCTTAGTAGGGAATATAGGGGTTACATAGTGAGACGAGCAGCCACTCATCCGGAAGAAAGGGTGGAGCGTAGCGGCTGAAGACAGGCCTGCCAGCACTTTTCTTCTTGTTAGCATCTCCATTTACGGTACATAACCCTAAACCCTAAACCCACGGTTCAAGGAAAGGGATTCAGAGGTTACAATTCAGAGCTTTGAGCCCGGCATCCCTTTTCAGGGTTTAGGGTTTAGGGTTTAAGGTTCAGGGTGTAGGGTTTAGGGTTCAGGGTTTAGGGTTGCTGGGCATCAAGATCTTGTTCGCAAGTCAGATTCTGGGCTCCACAACGCGCCAAAACCATCATCCTCCCCATGCGCCTTTTGAGAACCTAGGCACTAGCTGCGAATGTTAATGTCAGTTGGTGTTTTTGACAGTGACCCCACCCAAGCCCTGAAACCTAAACCCTAATCTCTAAACCCTAAACACTGAACCCTAGACCCTACTCCCTAATCCTTAAACCCTGAACCCTAATCCCTAAATCCTAACCTAGTCGCCACATGCCAGATACTGGGCTCTAGGTCTAAAATCCTGAATCTCACACGAATAATCATCCAAAGCCCTAACCTGTACTGGGTTGCTACTAAGGAACTTAAATCAACTTGCCATAACAATTACGGGTATACAGCAGATAAAAATAGAATCTCCTTGCTATAGTAGCTTAGTGTAAGTTCCTTAACAGCAACCCAGTCTAGCCCCGTGTTGTCTAGGCCTTCGGGCAATTGCCGCAGTACCGCCCTGCATCAGCTTCAGGGGTCCCACAACACGGGTGGCCCTGGCGACGGAAGCAGATACCCTCAACCCTAAACCCCCTAAACCCCTAATACCTTTTAAGCCCTTAACCCCCTATACCCTTACACCCTTAAACCCGTACACCCTTATACCCTTATACCCGTACACCCTCATACCCTGAAACCCTAAACCCGTTTGACAAATAGGGTTAGGGTTCAGACCTGCAGGTGTTGAAGGCTTGGGGTTTCAGGTTGAAGGTGTCGCGCTCAGAGGTGGGATTCGGAGGGTTTAGGATCTATAGGGGTCATGGAAAAGAAAACGGAAACTATAGGGATTATGGGGGTTAGGCGTTCCATAGGGGTTAAACAAAAGTTATACAGGGTGTAAAGTCTCATTCTTGCGTTCGTTTGGGGGACGGGCTTGATCAAGGACTACGCTTGGGGCTTCAGAGTTTTAGCTTTGCGGTTTAAGGGCTTCATGCTGCGGATTTGGGATTATTAGGTGCAGGATTGCGTAGAAAGGTCAAAGCTTGGGTTTTGAGGTTGGGGTCAAGTTTGCTATTTGTGAGTTTGTGTTGTTTGAGACGTTTGCTGGGGTTCGCGGTATCTGCCATTGCATGATCCGGAGCATAAAAGCCACCATACGCAATGTTAAGGGTTACATGGGGGACTGTCAAAATTATGGTCCCTTTTTGGGTCCCTATTATAATACGGGGCCTAACACGGGGCCTAATTTAGGGGACCCAAAAAGGGACCATAATTTTGACAATCCCCCACATGACGGCTGTTTTCAACAGCTCAGATAGAAGCCTCCGCAGGTGCTTTGACATGGGCTGATGAAAGGCCACTTCGCGAGCATTTGCTCCCTGATGCTGCTTTTGCTCTCGATCATGAACCCCAACGGGGCCCTATAGGATTACCTAAATCCCCAAAGTAGGTAAAATAATGGCCCAAATCCCCTAAATATAGCCCAAAAGGACATTATTCTACATACTTTGGGGGTCCAGGTAATACAAATCTTTTTAAGGCCGGCTTTCGGAGATTCTATGCTACTTCGGGTGCGGGTAATGGGGCTTGCGGCTTCTGGTTAAGTGCTGTGACTCCTTTCTTGGGGTGCTGGCGATTCTTCATTTTGTGTCCCATCTGGATAATCTACAAACACCTAGGTTTTTCACCCTGTAACCAGCACCCTGACAATTTCTCAAACCCTGAGCCCAGATATACCCAAGCTAACACCGAAGACCCTTGTTCCGTGTAGAGGGCCCCAATATCTGATCTGCATTGTAATCCCGGACTGAGAAACTGTGGAACCCGAAGCCCTCAAATCCTTCTAGGAAGCCTTAGCTCAAAGATGGAATTCAAATCGCTGCGTTTGAAAATAGAATTGCGCGGCCTTCTGGCATTCTTAAAAGCCAGAGGCCTAACCCCCAGAACCCCTTTAAGCCCAAAACCACTAACTTAAACCCCCTTCACAAACTCCAAAATAGCTGAAAACCTGACCCCCAAATCCAAATCCAAATAAAGTATTTCACAAAAAAACCTCTGCTAGGGATTCAAAATAAGGACACCTCCAGTAGTGCCCTTACAATCCCCACCTGTTCATGGGATTCCTGGAGGTCCCCTCATCTTGCCAAACTCCTAAACCCTTGCATCCTTAGCCCCCGGCCTGTTGACAATGGCTTCCCGCGCCGCCTCCCGCCGGCTCGGGTCCAATAGCAGCGAATGTCCAATGGCAGCTCGGTTGTCCTGCGTCTCGTCCACCTGTAGGGTTCAGGGTGTGGGGGTGGTTTTGGGGCTTGCGGATGTAGAGTATGTAGAGTTGAGGTTGCCTCTTGGGTTTCGTAAGTTTAGCAGAGAGAAGGGCCGTTCCGGTCCAGGGAAAGAGATAACTGGACCCCCAAAGTATGTAGAATAATGGCCTTTTGGGCTATATAACGGCTATATTTAAGGGATTTGGGCCATTATTTTACCTACTTTGGGGGTTTAGGTAGGCAAGGCGACGCCCAAACTGTGAGATGCCAAAGGTAGAAAACCTTATGGGATTTCCTCTGGAGAAAGGAGAGGTGCCAAACACCTACCCTAAGGGTCGAAGGACCCAAATGATCGGGCTTTAGGACCCAAATGCTATTCATATCCTAGTATTTGGGCCCTAAAACCCCATTATTTTGATCCTTGGACCCTGAGGGTTAGTCTTCCTGCATAAAGTCACAGCAGCTTTAAAGCCCATGGCGTCTCAGACACTGGGTTCCCTAAATGAGGGTCGACCCAGAATGGATTTTCCTGATCCCCCTCAAAATACACTGCAAACCTTGTTCATGGGGGACCCCAAAAAGGGACCCCAAATTTCCGGAAACTGCCTAACCCCACATTGAACCTGAAGGCAAGCTTCCCAAAGCCGGAAACTCAAAGCGCGGACGGCTACCCAAAAGCTTTCCCATGGACGGAAAATCGAACTTTGAAAAGCAAGCCCTACATCGGCCTCGAACACCCTTCATGGGATCCCCTTTGCCGCAGCACGCAACATCCAAAACTGAAAGCCCTACCCAACTATGAGTTCCTCCGTATAGCCAATCCTACCCCCGCAGCGCTAGACCAGGTAGAGCCCCCGCCAGCGGATAGATGTAGCCAATGGTCCCAAAAGGGGCCAGCTGCAGATTCGAGATGCCCTTGTAAGTGCGGATGAGGGTATCGGCCAAACGATCGAACTTGAGGATGGTGGTGTTGTATGCCTCCATTTTTTTTTACCCTATTATACTATAGTAGTTTCCATCTTCTTTTCCAGTATCCCTAGCTCCAATCTTTTCCCTTATACCATACTAAGCCTCATAGAAACGCTGGAGACATTGATCATGGACAGCAACCTGGACACCTAATTAAGCGACCATCAGTCCAAATATCCAAACCGAAATAACCATGCAACATGTGAGGTATAGTCTAGCCTCCTGGTATCCCCGTTAACAATCCCTATAATACTCCCCCAAATTATCCCCTACATAACCCCCCTTTAAGGAGTTTAGACTATAGCCCATGTATTGTCTAGGATTTAGGGCTTGCCTATAGGGACTATGGCCTGGAGCATCTATAAATCACATGCATGCGGTTAACCCAACATTGGTCTTGGAGGACTGTTGGCAGTTCTTCTAAGAGTCTGCGGAACTGTATCTTACCGTTTTCGTGAGTATGGGCGTAGTGCAGGTATCTCCTCTCGATTGCAGGTATCTCTGGTCTCCAGCAATGCTGGTAGTTTCCCAAATAAGGGGACCCCAATATAGACCCAACAATACTATAGTCCTTATTATAGGGACCCCAAAAAGGTACCCCTAACTATGGGAAACCCCCATATGTACTTTGGGCTTACGACTTAGCATCCCTCCCAGCTCTATGTACCTCCAACATTCTATCCTTCAAGTTCGAAGAGGACCCCAAAGAGGCAAGTATTCCCTAAGGGTTCAAGGATCCAAATAATAAGGCTTTAGGGCCCAAATACCATTAATATTATAGTATTTGGGCCCTAAAACCCTACTATTGGGTCCTTGGACCCTTATATAGTCCCCATATATCCCTATATATCCCCCTATAACCCCTTTAAAGGGACCCTATTATTTGGCTTGGGCCCTTAGAAATTGCTGGAGCCCCATTTTGGAACTGCCGGCATCAATTTGGATGATGCCCTCCAGAGCTTGTAGGGAGCTAGTAGATGTGCGAACTTGCCGCGCTATGTCGGCAGCATGTCTCCTGGACAGGTACCTTGTACTTGGATTGTTTAGGGCTTAGGGTTTAGGGGTTAGGGCTTAGGGTTTAGAGTTTGGGGGTTTAGGGTTTAGGGTTCCCCAAACTAACATGGAAACCCATATAGCCCCATTCTAGCGGGACTGTGGAAGGTCATGGGGACTTAGTAACTAGGTTCATAACCCCTATAACCCATATAATAACCCCAATTATTCCCATGATTAACCTACTTAGTAAGTCCCCATGACCCTCCAAGTATCATTAGCGTGGGTAGGGCTTCAAGTTTCAGCTTTTCGGCTGCGTGGTTCAGGGTTTTGGGGGGCTTGGGGTTTTCCCTAAACCCCACGCCCGAAACCGCGAAACCCTAAACCCTAAGCCCTGACTTAGTTTAGTAATGTGCGTGGGGGCTTTCTGTCGGGGCTTTTTCACCGCCTAGGGAAGGGACACGTAGGGAAGAACCGGGGCCATTTTCTTACTGGTTCTCAGTAGGAAATAAAAGATATAGTATATAGGGGCTATCTAGGGATTGTATTCCCTCATTCGCCACGAAAGGCCAGTAAGTTTTCAATTGCTTCTTCCACGCCTGATCTTCGCT